TGGTCGATCGGAAGTCAGATCTGGGATTATGTGCGGATCTATGATGATGATCGGTGATGAAGAAAGAAGACCGATGATGATGATGATGGGGTTTTGCTGATGATTCTGCAGTAGAGATGATGAAGAAGAAGAAGGAAGACTGGTGATGATGATGGAGTCTCTGCTGCGGTGATGAAGAAGAAGAAGAATGAAGACTGGTGATGATGATGAAGTTTTGCGTGATGATGATTGGAATCCTCTGTTAGGGCAAGAATGAATACTGGTTTAAGTGGGAATGAGTACAACTGATTTTTAGAATGTGTATTCGGTTATTATTTGTAAATTAATATTACACAAATGTGTAAAAATGAGTACTTTTTTATTTTAAAATGAGTATTATTACCTTTTCCAGAATGAGTACTACGTATTTCGATATGAATGTTTATATTTGTACGAGAATGAGTACTACTTTATTTTAGAATGAGTACTACCGGGATGTACCTATTTCTAGGTACATCCGGATATACCATATACTAACTCTTCCTAACCTAATAAAAAATATTACATCATTCAATCAACAAAACTTTATTAATTTCATATAACAATAAAAAAAATATATACCATATAATCAACCTAACATTATAAATTGTACTTTTTATTTTCGTATTAGCGTGTTTGACAGTTTCATAATACTATTATGTATCGATCAAAATATATATATACGTGGATTTAAATTTACTAAATCCTTTATTTCTAAAAAAACCATTTAGAACTTTTTAAAATACAGAAAAACGAACAATTAAGAAATTTTTTAAACTACAAAAATTAAAGGGCCAAGAATTTGTATCCATTTTGTACACTGCAGGGATACACCAACATTTTGTGTTGCTGTAAAACTAATTTTTTTTAAACACATTAACATTTTATATCAGTGTAAATTTTTGTTGTGTGTCAGTGTAAACCATCAAAATATTGATGCATACTTTTGGTTTACAAATGAGTAAAATTTTTGGGTTGCATGCTCCAAAATTAAACCACAAAACGGTAGATGAGTTCCATTTCATTTCAGCATAAGTCAGCAAGAGTTTCACACATCAGATATGAATTTTCATGATCTGCACTGATTGGGAAATCACCCTGATCAGAGATGGGTAATTCTCAATCGTCTGCTCCTAATCGTCGCTTTGATAACGCTAAAAGGTTCATATTTCTCCCTATTCGTCTATTATGCGGAGTTTTAATTCTTCTTTAACATCCATATTTATCGAATTTATGCTTCGCAGAGCGTTCACTGAGAAGGAACTTGAAGACCTGAATTCGTTGTTCCTCTCACTCTCCACGCAATCAGATGAAAATTCCCAATACATCTCCCCTTCAGTTTTCAAGGTCTCTCTTCAATTTTACTTTTGAAAAGCTTAATTATCATCAGTTTATATAATATATGCAAATGAGCAAATCTTAGGTGTATGATGTATGCATAGGTGCACTTTGGAATTCAAGGTGTGCTGGGGGATAGATTGTTCGACTTGGTCACCCAGAACCGTAAGGATGAAAAGCTTACCTTTGAAGATCTTGTTATTAGTAAAGTAAGCTAGGTACTTTTTTTCATTTGTTCTTGCTATACAATCCTTGTTTAATTCATGTTCTGAACTGAAATTTTCCATGAAATACATACACTAAATTGTTTTCCAGTAATTTCATTGGTACGAACCATGGAGTCTGGTTGTTTAGTTCATAGCTATCATAACTCATAAATACTGATTGGTGCGGAGTAAAAATGATGTGAAATTATTCAAAATTCTCTGCTTCTGATCTAATCTTATGAGGCAGGGAACTTATGAAAAAGGAACAAAAGATGAGATTGAAGAGTTTATATATCAACTATTAGATGTCTCCGGTGATGGCACAGTTGGAAGGTAGAACTCTTAATATCTTGCTCCCTCCCTCCCCCAACAATTAGAAATATAGAATCTTGGGTGTCTTCTTGACTCAAAGTTATCTGGCATTAAATTCTTGGTGAAAAACTTGGAATATAACATGGTAATGGATATTTACTATTGTCTAGAGTCATAATTTGGATGCTCAATGCTCTATTGGGGGAATTTATTCTAACTGTTTAGAGGTATGCCATCAAAGATGTGTAACCAGCTGTCTTGTAATCAATTGTACCTTGTAATGAACTTGCAGGTCTGATCTCGGTGCTGTTTTAACTGCAATGCTTGATAATATATTTTCTAAAAAATGCTCTCAATGTGGACCAACTTCACATTTGAACATCATTGACATATTCATTAATGCTGCAAATTTCACAATGGGTAGTCAAAGTTCAGCTGAAAGTTCTATGTCTTATGAGGATTTTAGAAAGTGGTGTGCACTCCTTCCATGTGTAAGGAAGTTCCTTGGAAGTTTGTTAACACCATCTGAATCAGGTTCTTTGTATATGGTCATCCAGTACCTTGAGGCTTTTCTTAATGCTAAGTTTTATCATTTTCGCGGATCTCAGATATATGCTAGGGATAGAAAGTTTTTTAGTGTGGACCCTTGCGTTCATCCGGTGTTTGTGTACGCCAAGCTGAGAGCCTTTGTGTTCAAGGCAAGCCCATATGGATAGGGAATTTAAGGCCATGTTTATCTGATTGGTGAATATGATTGGAATAAGTTCTGACCTGCTCTAATCTGATTTGAATGTAGTTATATTTAAAGTTATTTCTGATCTGATCTGATTCCAATAAGAATAAATAATAAGTAAAAAAATAAGTTGAGGAGAACATAACCTAAGTGTGGGCCTATGGCCTTCTTTTTTAGGGTCCCAAGAAACCAACATGGATAAGGTATTAGTATTATGTGTAATAAGCCAAAGGCGTGGTATGACTCTACAGGCCCCAAATGACAAATTCCTTACCCTTGTGTTTAAAAATAAATAAAGTTCCACTATACTTCTAAAATGAAGTGATCTGCGACATTTCATGTGTCGCAACTTGTGTATTTGAAAAACTAGTGAATAACGGTAAATTTTTTGTTGGCAAAAAGAAGGGGAGATATGAGAAGTCACCTAGTCGTTTTCTTTTATTGATTATTATTTTGTAGGAAACATTTTACTCTATTTCTCTTCTTATTATGTGTAGTTTATATTTTAAAATTTAATTTTAAAATACTCCCTCCATCCTAGTGTTTTTGTCCACATTTCTTTTTGGGACGTCCCACTGTTTTTGTCCAATTTCCTTTTTCGGGATACAGTTTGACATTTTTGCCCTCCCAAGTGATCCATATTTCCCATTACGTCTTAATTCATGTTCAAATTGTAGAGATCTCAAACTTTATTTCGAAAGACAGTCTGTCTAACTCCTCGACCCATGGTTTTGAGACAGATCCATTAGTGGTGTCTGCAAGCTCTCATCCCGGCGGTCCATCTCTCCGGTTACGAAGGAGTTGAAGACTCCAACTCAAAAATAAAAAAATAACAAAGAAAGAAAAATAACACTAACTCTAATGAGAACCATATATATATATATATATATATATACATATATATATATATATATATATACATATATATATATATATATATATATATATTCTGCCGCAGCAAGAAGTAATTTGACTTATGAGTGGATACTTTATGTCCGAAGATTCCAACAAATTCGTTATTTAATTTGCCAGCAAACACTCCAAAATCTTAATTCAAAAAATTGGATAAAAATTGGATGTGGATACTTTTCCGCCGTTAAAGACACATTCTCTTTCCTCTCCGTGGTTGTCGTTGGCACACGGATTGATATGGAAGCCATTGGAACATTGCCAAAGAAGGAGGCTTGACCGTCTTGACAAGTAGATTACACCCTTCTATCCTTTTCTTTGGTCCAAGAGCCAAATTGTAAGTGGACAAAGAGATTAGGATGGAGGGAGTACTCCGTATTACTTATTTGATAGAAGAGTTAAGAGTACAACATAAAGAAAAAGATATATGGAGTAAAGTACAAGTGAAGATTGGGTCATTCAGTTTCTACTTCATTTCAAGCACACAAAAGAAGTAGCTCGGGAATGATGTAGCACTCCTTACATGCCTAAGGGTCGACAGTGTATTTTTATTGAAGGGTATAAAGATTACTGAAGAGAGGAATGGAAGATACTCCCTCCGTCCAAAAATTTCTTTCCTGGTTTCACTTGGCACGAAGATTAAGAAAAGTTGAAAGTGTTAAGACTATCCATGTGTTGCCCTTGATGTAATGGAATAAAGTGAATAGTGTAGATAAAAAGTAAGGGTAAGATGGTATATTCATTAAAAGTTTTTTGCCAAAAGAGGAAACGGGAAAGAAATTTTTGGACGCTCCAAAAAAGAAAGTGAGAAAGAAATTAATGGACGGAGGGAGTATTATAGGGGAAAAGTGGGAAATGTTTGGGCTGAATAAGCTTAGTATAGGAGGAGAAAAGGTAATTATAAAACATTACAATTTCAATGTTTAATTGTTTGGACTTTGGATTCCATTGGACAACATAAACCCAGTTGAATCACACAATTGTTTGGATCCCAATGGAAGTAAGAAAATGATTGTACAATTTATTTAAAAAACTATGTTTTTTTTGGGGGGGGGGAGGGAAGAGTGAGATATAAAGAGTTTGGAGGAAAGTGTAGGTGTTATTGTTCTTGTGTTGCCCTGGTCCATGATCTCAAAGATATCCCCATTAGATATATAGATAATGAACCCGCTCTATTGCCCATGGTGAAGAGATAGAGCTTCAGATCCTATAGTCCGAGACTGATAAGGAAGATGCGTCTAATTGCTTCAGCTCTAATATTATTATTGATTTTGTGATGATGATACTAGGAAACCCAAATCCTTATTAGGAATATTAACTATCATATAATAAGAGAACTCATAGGAAAATGATGATGTTCTTAATAATAACAATAACAATAACAATAGTGATAATAATAATAATAATATGAAAAAATAAAATAAATAATTCATGAAACCCTGGATCCATAGTAGTAGGTTTGAATTTACAATATTAATCTTGCAAGAGAACAAGACAATAGCAAAACCTAATATCACTTCAATACTGCCCCCTGACGTTTTCCAGGCATGTGGAAATAAGATACGATGATGACAAGTTTAGTATTTTCATCTCATTATTACTTCAGATAGAGTATGCAACAGGAATGACATCAGGTGTAAAATGTTGCCACTATGCTTTTTGCATGAATTTATAGTATGGATTAATCTTTTATGCTCCCTCCATCTCATAAAAAGGTTCCACATTTCTTCAAAAAGGATCCGCTTTCCACTCTTGGAAACATTTTTTTGGCCCTTATCATTTCTACCACACAATTTCATTTCACTTTTCTTAATTTCCGTGTCAAGTGAAAGGTGGAACCTTTTATGGGACGGAGGGATTATTATTGAGACCATAAGTTTAATCCCCCCCGATCCCAACTACTTGGGACTAAAGTGCTGATGAGTTAAATATACAGTTTTTATGTTTTTTTGTGCAGGTTCAGATGTTCCTAGACTGGTCCACCAAGAAAACGTTAATTCTAATGTGATATTGTTAAGGAATGAATTCGCGTGGCTAATTGGAGGTGCACTACCACAAGAGGAGCTGCAAGAATGGAAGCTTCTTTACCACAATGCAGTTCATGGCTCAAGCTTGAATACATTCTTGGGAAATGTAACGTAAGTCGCTTGTATTTCTTCATTTCCTCAAGGAATGCACATTTTCTCATTGAAATTTGATAATGCTCTTACTTTTTCAAATGATATTACGATGTACTTCTTTGGAGTTTGGAACATTTTGTTCAAGAACTATCTTACTCCGTATTTACCGTTTTCAAGTGTCTGACTTTTACAGTAAATTTCAGAATTGGCAAAGGTCCAACAGTGTTAATCATAAAAGATAAAAACGGCCATATATATGGAGGTTATGCTTCTCAGCCATGGGAGAGACATGGTGAATTTTATGGAGACATGAAATCATTTATCTTCCAACTTTACCCAAAAGCATCAATTTTTCGCCCCACTGGAGCAAACGGAAATATACAGTGGGTAAGTTGGTCATTCTTCACAAGGAGTATATATATATTTTTTAACTTGAGGTGAAGAAGGAAACAGACCTACAAAGCAATCTCGTCTCTTTTGGCAGTGTGCTGTAAATTTCAGTTCAGAAAGCATTCCCAATGGCATTGGGTTTGGGGGCAGAGTGAATCATTTTGGTCTGTTCATCTCAGCCAACTTTGATCAAGGCCACACTTTCCCATGCACCACGTTTGGAAGCCCTAGCTTATCGGCAAGCAACGTGGTATATCCAGAAGTGATAGAATGCTGGGGAGTCCAAATCAAGAAGGCCCATGACGAACCGCATCATGATCGTGTCAAAGGCACAGTTCTTGAAAGATTTAAAGAGGATCGCCATGTACTTAATATGGTTGGCCTAGCAAGTTCAAGCGACTGACCTGCCCTGTGTTTTTAGTTGGTTTTGTTCCTTTCCCCTCATTGTTCGTTACTTACTGCTGATTACTTGTATACTGCAATATGAGCTTGCTTTGATTAAATTAAACTCGTTTGAGCTTGCTATGATGCTATAGAGAACCAGATACAGCAGTTGTTTTTTACTCTGAGCAAGTGATGATTAAAATGAATTAGTATGGAAAATTTGGGGGCAAATTGCATATTGTTCTGTTGAACCCCTCAGACCTGGCAGCTGTCATAAAATCCTCTCACAGACCTGAAAATCTGAAATATGTGGCCTTAAATTATCTTGTGGTATGTTTGGGAACATGGATTTGGATTTCAAATCCGGATTTGATTTAAATTTCATGTTTGGGAAACTTAAGCATTTTGAATTTGGATTTGAATCAAATTCTTTACATTCAAAACAAAGCTTAATTTGAAATTCATGCACCTCCCCTTCTCATTTGAAATTCTGGATTTCAAATTTTGGAATTGAAATGCATGAATTGAAATGAAATACTAGTTGCCAAACACCACCTTGTTGAATTTGAATATTTTTTCCTAGCATGTTTGGCCATTTAGCTTTGATAGCTGGTGCCTGGTAGGACTTTTAAGTTCCATTGAAATATCTACCATTAAAAATAAAATATTTAAAATTTATTTGAGTCAAAATTAAAAATTATGTAAAGCAAATAAATTTCTAGGAAATATTTTTTTAGATTTTTCATTAATTATTGAATGCATTATTAAGTCAAAATAATGTTTTTTTTTGTAATTTCACATGACTATTTTGAAGAAAAAACAGAAGCGCTATCCCCGAAGCCCGTAGTAGTCTCACCCCAGTCCTCATGATTTCTGGATCCGCCACTGTTGCCACACATTCTATAAATGGGAATGTGCCTATTTTTTCCCATCCCAAAGTACTTCATTATCTTTACTGTAGCATAACTTTGGTACATAGGTATTAAAGGCGAGTGCCTCCCTCGGACCCAAGTCGCCTGAAAAGAATTGGGCGTGTTCTTTTCTCGCATGATATCCTGGCGTGAGGCGAATGCCTCTTCCGCCTCAGGGCTTCGTCTTTGATTACCCTCTCCAAGTCATTGTTAACAACTTCATCTATATTGTGTTTGACTATTTTGATTGGTTGTTAGGCTCCGTTCCGTTCAACTTATTTTTTCTGATCTGATCTGATTCTAATAAGTTCTGATCTAATCTGATCTGGTCTGATCTGATTGGATCTGATCTGATCTGATCTGATCTGGTCTGATCTGATTGGATCTGATCTGATCTAATTGGATCTGATCTGATCTGATTAGATCTAATCTGATCTGATTGGATCTGATCTAATCTGATCTGGTCTGATCTGATTAATTATGATTTAATTTAAAATTTCAAATCAATAATTTAATTTGACTTTATAATAACATTTGAAAATTGTAATGATAATTCATATGATAATATAATCAATATTTTTTATTTAATGATTATTTTTAAATAAAATAAAAATAGTTAATTCATATATTAGAATAATCATTCATATTATAATGTAATAATATTTTTTATTTTATGATTATATTTTTGTAAAATTAGAATTATACATTAGAATAAATATTGAATTTAGATATACATTAAAAAGTAATTAAATTTAGATAATCAATATATTGAAGAGATAGTATTCTTAATAAAATATCTCATCCTTATAAAAGATCAAAAGTTTAGAAACTTAAATTACAAGTAGAAATAAAAATATATTTTAAAAGTAGAATTAGATTGACATTGTCAATGTATTTTAAAACTAATTTTTCCGACGTCTAATAATTAAGGATTACTTTCTCAGTTTTCTATTTAACCTATTTCTAAAGTTTATTCTTTTTCATTTTTAAGAACAATACTAATAATAATAATGATGATGATGATGATTATGATGATGATGATAATAATAATAATAATAATAATAATAATTTTTGATGGGATCTGATTTTAATAAGTCCTGATCTGATCTGATCTAATCTGATTGGATCTGATCTGATCTGATTGGATCTGATCTGATCTGATTCGATCTGATCTGATTCGATCTGATCTTATCTGATCTGGTCTGATATGATCTGATCTAATTTTAATAAGAATAAGAAAAAATAAGTTGAACGGAACGGGGCCTAAGTCTAATGTTGCCTACCTGACCCGCTCAGATTTCATTTAAGTCTTAAGAAGAAAACCCTAGCCTTTTGTCCGCCTCTAGTCTTCAATTAGTTTACTTTTCAAGGGTTTTTAAATCTCAGTTTTGTTTTGAATTAATTTTTTTACATTTTTTATCTTTCTAGTATTCCAAATCTGGTTGTTTGTGGAATTCTTATTAGCTAATAAATCAAATTTTTATTAGCTCATACAATATATTCAATAATTATTGGAGTTATTCTCCTCACATCAAATATGGCAAGGTTAAAATTCATGATTGGTACTTCAACTTTATGAACTGTGCATGATTGACCCTTAAAGTTTTAAAACTTAAAAATTCATTAATAGTCCTTCAAGTATTAATAATCCTCTACATGAAGTCTTTCAAGCATCAAAAATTCATAACTAGTTCTTCAAGTATTCATCAACCTTCCAAATGCAGTCTTTTTTACGGTACACGTTAAAAGATAAACGAATTACTTATAATATGAAGTACTTGTACCTATACGTAGATGATTATTTTTTACGTATAGGGAATTAATGAGCTTCCATAATTTCAATCAAAGTTTTATATTCTTTACTATACAAATTGAACCCCTGCGAAAGTGAAATTATCCCTAACATTTACAATGGGAGAAAAAGACCCACAGTGCAGCACTGCTCGGAGGACAGGGCCAACGTCGAACCCCCATTGCAGGCCAATAGTTATAAATATAGAGCTAATACTTCATTTAGTTTTTAAAGTATATCATAAAAAGAACTGCATTTATAGGGTTCATGAATATTTGAAAAATTATTTATGGATTTTTGAAACTTGAAGAACTGGATTTAGAGTTAGTTGAATATTTGAATAACTATTGATGAATTTTTGAAACTTAAAAGATCAATCGTGCACAACTTACAGAGTAGAACCAATGGTGGATTTTAGCCAATACAAGAACAATATCACCAAGAACTATGATAAATTTAAGATCTCAAAAATGTCAACTCTCTCTCCCTCTCTCTCTGTCTCATACAATAAAAATATTTGATGCAAACTAACTTTTAAAGACAAATTTATCTATTTAGTCAATAGAAGACAACCACACCCGCATGTAATTGGTGTAATTATATTACACCAAATCAGACCCCTCCACTCTCAATGGAGAAGTGCAATTGAACCACTCCAATTTACGCCATAACTTTCATTTAGAGCAGCTCCACGAAGCATGAAGGATTGGCATGATTCTGGTAGGCAGTAGGCAGAATGAATGATTGGCATGATCCTGGTAGCGGATGGGGCGAGACTGTCATGGTGGAATTTGTGATTTTAAAATAAATAATTATGTTGTTATTAAACATGGTTTAAATTGCTTCCGCATTATTGTTAAACACTCCGTATTTTGCTACAGTTATGCATTAAATAACATTTATGATGAATAAAAGTATTTGAAATGTTTTAAATTTTACGATCACCAAGTTAATACTTTAGTTCGAAAGGAGCTGCAGATCTGGACGGATTAGGGTGTTACATTCGATGCATTGTTGCTTTGCATGAGTGGTTACAGATGACGTATGGGAAAGGGTATCCACCACCTCCTCAACAAACGACCAAGATCTCCTTCATTTAGACTCTTCCATACAAATACTCCATATGTTCCCAAACTTAATTCACTTTCCCCTTAATGATTCCCAAAATAAGTTTGGCAATTTTCTCATTTCCATTTATGGAAAAGAATGTGCCTCACATAATTTTCTCTTTTAAGCAAATCATAACCACGCATCTTTAACTTCTCATAATTATTCTTGAACGCCGTGAAGTCAAAAAACAATATTAATTTAGGAACACAAGAATATTTAAGATATTTATCTCTCTATACTTTTATACTCTTCCAGAACTGTCTAGACCTCTCCATAAAGTCTTACACAATTCTAGTCTTTCAGGCATGTTTAGACTTGTGGAGTCCATTCTTTGTTAGTTCTGTGTACAAACACTTTAGATAGTTTAGGAAAACTTAAGTTGTGTGTTACACGTTGCATGGGCAACGCCCACATCATACACATACAACGGGATCACGATGAGAGTCATGTTTGATGCCGATTCTCTCCCCCATATTGCGACCCAAAAGCAACAAAAGAGATGGCATAAAAGGTTACAAGAATGTGAATGAGCAAGTGTAGTGAAAGGTACAAGATTTTTTCCACATTCGTGGCAGTGAAAGCAAATAAAAGATGAGAACAAGATTTGAAGGAAAAAGAAAGCAATAATAAGGAGTATGCATTATTTAATGTGTGTAGAATAAAGGAATACACATAACCCTGTTTTATGTCTTATACACCAGCTTACATTGAAAAGTGAGCGCAAAAGATGAAGAATCTGTCTTTGATTATGATAATTAGGATATAGTAGCCTCATCTTTCTACAACTAGGTTTACTGTGCTAATCATGTAATTGGGGTTAACCATCTAAAATAAGTAATCCACCAAACAATTTAAACATGGTTTTATATCTAAGGTGTACGGTTGTGAGAACAAATTATTACTTACACATGAAGGCAATTAGTAGGTATTGATGAAAGGCCATCATTCATAATAATGCGGAGGCACTGTAATGGAAACAATATCAACCAATTCAAGAATTACATTTACATTAGTTGAAACCACTCCTAATAATCATCAAGCAAGTAAAATGATAAAAAGAAAGGATGTAACAGATGGTTTATAATAGAATATAACATGTTCTGCTTCATATAATTTACTCAAAGAAGTAAGCATTTTAAGATTCAAAATTTGTTAAGGATAGACATAAAGAATACTCCGTAACACTTTATTCTGGAAAGGCTAGAACCATAATCGATAATAATTATACTTTGTTAAGCATATCTTGTTCATATCATTT